ATGCGGAGTCAGGTAATCAGAATGAATTAACGCGAGGGGTGTTTGGATGAAACGTGTCACTCTCCAACTAGTTTTGTTATCGTGTTTGCCTAATTTAGTCATCTTAATAAATTATCGCTTTCTTCTCGAAGGTTTAAAATCTGTATTTTTTGCAAACTAAGAAACGACTGGAGTTTTTTTTAAAAAAGGCTGCTGTTTTTTCATAAAATGATTACCGTGATTTTAAATTTGCATGCTATTTGCCAGCATGAGTTAATTCTTGTTCATGTTTTCTATGTTTCTTTTATCATTTGTTGTAAATCGCGTTTGAAAAGAGATATATGTTTCTTTCATGGGATCCAATTACGGTTTCTGTGTCACCAGTAGACTTCAATATAAACTTTGTCAGAAAAATAATTGTATCTGTTCATAAAATGGCAAATAAAGTGATTCATAGGGTAAGTTTTATAGGGTAAAGGAAATGCTAAAAAGCCCTGCAGTGGTTTTGGACATTTGAAGACTTTTTTGAAAAAAATCAGCGCATGTTTCTACAAAAACGTCTTGTTTTTTCTTAAATGACCAATTATGTGGTTTAAACTCAACTTGCGTTTTGTGATCCTCATGTTGCTTATTGTAGCAATTGATTCATAGCGCAAAAATCTTTTGCGGCTTTGGTTCCTGACTATCATAATCTTTTGTTAAGATCCTTATTTTCATGCCCACTGGGTTTGAAATAATAAATATCTTCGCAAAAAAAAATGCGACTTCAATTCTAATTAAAACAAATACCCTGAAAATTCGCGATTCGCCTTTTAGGTTTGGCAAACTAGCCCTGTTTGTATTTTAAATAAAACCGACCGATAGCTCAAAGATAGAAAAATGCATGGGGAAGTGGAGGAAATTTCATGCTGCTATCGTCGGGAAAAAAACGGTTAAAATTGCTATGTTTAGAATGCTTTTTAATTATTTAATGAATAGAAATGTCTTCGATTCTCCAAGCAGGGAAAAAAATTGTGATGCAAAAAGTGCTTTAGATATTTCATTGTAGCATTTATCTCTGGTATTTTTTTTTTCGTTTTAGCGCACTGGTGTTATAATCCATATTCCCCATTTTTTCTTTTTGATTCAGTGAGATAGTCTGCAGCTTTGAGCCCTTTCAGTCGACGTGTGTAAGCACCATCGGGCTTTTTAGCGCCCTTGATCAAGCATTCCAAGGCGTGCCTTACCCTTTTTCCCTGGTAACAATAGAGTTTAACCGGCCCAATCAATGAAGAAAGGCGTCAAAATGTCCGCCAGGCAGAATGGTTGTGAATGCAAACTGAATTTAATCATGTGTCTAATAAACGATGGCTGATGAAGGTGATAAGGACATCTGAACACCTATCGAAAAAGTAGAAAATATATTTTGGGAATCATTTCACAACAGTCTATCAGAGATAAGCAGAAATAATTTAGCTTATTGTTCCGACTTTCGATACGAAAGTAACGGAATATTTGTGCTCGGGGTGGGTTTTTTTTTCTTCAGACAAATTTCGACTTTTTAACTAGCCATTTTTGACGGAATTTTAAAATATCATTCGAAAGGTATTGTTGTCCCGAGCTCAAATTTGAAAAATATTTCACCTGTGATCGTTTTTCGTAAAGTTACGGGGGTTTAAAGATTGCCATTTTGGGTCAATTAACGCGCGATATATTTCGCGCTATTAACGCGTAAACGGAGAGTTAATCCATCATAAAAATCGTTCTAAATTGGTCAAAAGAAGCTTATTTGACTTAATTGGTTTGTTACAAGGAGCGAAATTTATCCTTTTGAACTTTATATGGCGTGTGGGGTGACGATTTTCATAAAAAATTTCAAATTTTAGAATTTTTTTTTTCATTTTGTTTTATTTCAATGAATTTTTAATTGTTATTACTGCTTCATAAACCTTAAAAGGCAGTTGGAACATTCAGGGCTTCGCCCTGATACGAGCAGTCTTGTTTTTCTTTCAAATAAAATACCACAATATAGTTTGGAACACAATTTATTTATAATATTGTTCAGTAGCGGATTATTCAGTAGCGGATTTACTGACCTTAAAAATTGCTGCCGACCGAAACGATCCCCCTTTATACTATTTTGAGATATTCTTTTTTGGGTGACTGACCTTAAAATTTTTCTAATGGCGCCTGTGGCGCCATTCAATACTAATTTTGAGGGGGGAGCGCGCGCCAAAAAACGCAATTTTTTGGCCGAAGTTTTCCAAAAAGTGCCTAAAAACGCTATTATTGGCACTATGTCTTTCAAAATTTTGCTTGCGGCGCAGAAATTTTGGCCCACACAGGGTCTTTATAGTGGTTTGGGAGAGCTCAGAAAACTAGTTCGGTCGACCTAAAAAATTCGACAAATTTTTCGAAACTTTTTTGAAAATGCGCCCCCCCCCCCGCGAGAAATTCCCCCCCCCCGCCTGATTTATGATTCTTATTATTCTTCTTATTGTTAATATTAGTTTTATTATAAATTATTGTCATAATGATTATTATCAATATTATGATTATTATGATTATTCTTATCATCATTATTATCATTTTTATTATTATTACGATTATTATTATGATTACTATTATGATTATTATTATTATTATTAATATTATTATGATTATTGTGTTTTATTATCATCATGATTATGATTATTTTTGAGGAAAAAAAACATCACATGGAAAATATGTTTTTAAATTTGGCTCAAGACCGCAAATTTTTTCAAACGAGAAAGAAAATTTAATAATTGATAGTTAAAAAGTCGAAATTTATCTAGAGAAAAAAACCACCCCTAGCATAAGTTGAAGCATATATCAGGCAAAAATGCACTTTTTGATTGAAAAAAAAATTTTTTTTCCAACTTTGGCATCGGCGAATGTGAGAGTGATTATTATCATTCGCAACAAGAAGATTCATTTTTAGAAAACAAACAGCATTCGCTCCACTGTGTAGGGCTGAATAGGACGTTCTGTGCAGAGGTGATAAAATGGCATTAATTCAATCCCCATAACAAAACAAAAAATGCCCAAAAGTGAAAATCATTTTTAAATTTGAGCTTAGGACAACAATAAAATTCGGATGATAACAAAAAAAAAGCATGTTAAAAATTTAATTTGGTCTGGAGAAAAAGAACCACCCAAGCAGCAAACTTTGTCACTTTTTTTTCATAAAAACCAAGGTTAACTACCTTATTTAAAATGAATAATAAAAAAATTTCACATGCGCGGTGTGATAGAAGAATCTGAAAAAAAATCTATTTCCGAAAAAAAAATCCTTTTAACCATTTCCGATAATTATTTGTGGTAAATTTACTGGTCGAAAAAAAATAAGCCTGCTCGTTCTACTGATTTGTTTGGAATTAGATCAGAAACCAAAAAATTAAACCGGTTTTTCTCGACATGGAGAATTTTTTCAAGTTAATGTAGTGTCGTTCGAATCCCGTCTGGAAGAGCTTTGCTATGATCTATTACTCGACCTATTCCAAAAATTGTTTGTAATACCTGATTTTGTGAGAAAAATTAAAAAAAGAAAATGAAGAAGCTAAAACACTGTTTCTCCCCGCGAAACGTAAAGAGGAAACAAATTTAATGATCTTCATATGCTGCAGATTTTTGTCTCAAATTTTGATTTTGGGTTTTTTCGTGTCTGTACAAAACATTCCAATACAAAACAGTCCGGAAAAGTTTGAGAAAGAACGAAAAAACAGTCCGTTACGAAACAGTCCGAAAAACAGTCCCAAGTAACAATTTTAACAAACCGGTAGGCCGAGAATTGTCCTTTGTTCATTAAACATAAAGAACAAAATAGTGACCGCCGCAGTCACGCCAACGTATTGCGAGCTTGCCAACAGAGGGTAGAACTTAATACAAAATTTAAAGCCGGTGATCGCCGCAAAGCGGCGACGAGCGCGCAGCGGGCTCACCAACAACCTTGAACCGGACTGTTTTGTATTGGACTGTTTTTTTCCTTCAGTTTATAATTTTTGGGACTATTTTGTATCGGACTGTTTTGTATGGGACTGTTTTCTATATGCACTTTTTTTGTATCGTCTAAATGATGGCCCGTCTATCCTTCTAGACGCCAAATTGTTCTTATGATGGCGTCATAGTTTGGGTTTTGAATATTCCAGGCTGAAGGAAAACCCCACAAAGCTGCAAAAGTAGAAGAATATAATTATATTAGAACACTCTGTTACCCCCAACACATCTTGGCAACCCAAATAACTGATATATAACAGCGGGCAGCGGACTTGCTAACAAAATTTTGCACGGCTCATGGGTTTTTCAAGGTTTCACGAACTTCAATTACACGCTGTGTGATTTCCGGAGTGTATTAATTTTGCGCCATGGTGTCAGATTACCCAGTTGAACCACCCTAAATTATCTGATACTAAAAATATTCAAAAACGCGCTTTTTAAAAACAGAATAATAAATGAATGCGTGTTGATTATTTCAAATGTCACAACGCTTGTGCAAATGTCAAATCTTGCATTTTCCATCTAATATAACTTTGAGAAGGTTTTGCAAATTGTTAAATCAAGCAATCAGAACTTAAGGGCCAGTGCATCAAGTTGAAGTTAAATACTATGTTCACAGAAGTTAATGAACCGACAAATAAGTTAAAACTCATGTGAACCATCAGCTTCCGGGCAGCCGAAATCGTCAAACATTTATGTAATTTTTTTATTACAAATTGAATCAAATATAGCGTCGAAATTACAAGATTAACTCAGATCATGACCCGAGACAAACAAAAAGCCAAAAAAAACACCCTTTTGTGTCTAACAGAGATTATTTAATCACGTATTTGAGAAAAATTTGCCAGCAAAAAAAAAACGTTTTTGGAATAAATTTTTGTTGGTAAGATTTTTACAATGAGTCTTCACAACTTGGGGAGACTATCAGAAAAGACCCCCGCCTCATCTTGATTGTGAGGGGGGGGGGGGATACCTGAGAGGCATATTTTCATCTTCGCTCCCATAGTATAACTGTTTTTGTTCAGGTCGGTCTGTTTGTTGCACCAATAGGAGCATTTGTCCATCTACTGCATGGGAGGTGGATATTTGGCTACTGGGTATGTCACATCTGGCACGCCGTAGACGTCCTGGCAAGTACCGCCAGTATCATGAACCTAACAGCCATAAGTCTGGATCGATTCGTGGCCATCAGAAGGTCCATGCAGTATTCCACAATCGTCACGCACAAAACCTGTCTAGCAGCTATACTAATCGTCTGGATTCTTTCCGCTCTTATTTCGTTTCCAGCTATTGCCATCTGGCATTTCAGCTTGAAGCAAGCGGGGGCTAATTCGTTTGAGAAATGTGAGTTCACAAATAACAGAGTTTACAGAGTAACTTCGTCCCTAATTTCTTTCTACTTGCCGCTGTGTTTGATGACTTTTGCGTATACAAGTGTGTATCTGAAAGCGCAAAAACAACTCAGAATTCTGGCATCTGGAACTATTCTGCTCAAAACGAATTCAAATGGAAATTCCAAAAACGAGAACAAGAAAAAACAAAGCAAAAGCGCAGTCGAGTCCGAAAACAACGAAGCTGTCGCGACATTACGAGTGCATCGCGGTGGCGGGGCAAACCGATTTCCGGCAACAAATCACTCAATGGTATCGACATGTGCTTCATCAAGAAACGGAGATGGGAAGCTTAACGACCTTAAAAAATGCCCAAAAAAACCGAAATCTTCCCACGGGTCTCAGGTGAACTTGAAAGAAACCTCAAAATCAAGCAAACTTGGGGTATTTTTAAGCGAGCGAAAAGCAACCAAGACACTTGGAATCGTTTTTGGAGTTTTTATTTTATGTTGGCTGCCATTTTTTACTCTAAACGTGGTGCAAGCTTGCACCAACCGAAACTTCACTTACGAGCGTGAAATGTTTGACTTTTTCACGTTGTTGGGATATGCAAATTCGTGTCTGAACCCGTTGATTTATGCCGCTACTAATATGAGATTAAGGAAGGCTTTCTTACAAGTTATAACGAGAAAATTGGACTACAATTAACTGTTACCAGCCATTAACTGTTCTAACTATCGCTCCCTATTGTTAAAAAACACGAAACTAAATTTTAATAACAACTCATGTCAAATTTAATATTTCCAATGAAACTATTTTGTGATTAAATGATTAAAAATTGAGTGATAATTTGGGAAAAATATGATGAGAGGTGTTTTCTCTTTAATGCAGAAATTTTAACAACTTTGTGACAACAAAAAGTGTGGAATTTTTCTGTAGCGTCAATGTATACGATTTTTGAATTAAAAATTTTCAGTCAACGTTTTTTATCAAAACTCCCCATACTAACAGAAATGGATTAGGATCGCTTAAAATTGAATTTTAAAGACAATATACAGTAAAAAAATTAATAAAATGAAGCCCATTTTCTTCCAATCACCGGTTTACAACGTTTTTTCACGGTTTCTTCCTGATTTAGATGGGTTTTTGCAAGACATTTAAAAGCATCAAAGTCTCTACTAACTCTTCTCTACAAAGTGTAATATAACTTCCAAATTAAATTTGTTACATAATAATTTTGCCTTCGAAAGTTCGAACTCAGAACCAAGTTAACATCCTCCCCCCTAAACGGATTTGGGGGGAGGATATTAACTTGATCTAAAATTCATTCTCAGCTAAACTCACTACAGAAAGGGGCAATGTTCACCGCAAACCATTGTTTCCGGGGTTTTCATTTAAAATTTTGCAAATGAGGGTTTTGCGGTCAAAAAAATAGTAATTTTAGGCAACTTTTTTCGAATGTCATTTTTAACATCACAATTTTAACCGCAACTATTTCAAATGAGTCAACACAATATTGAAATCTCAAATGGCAACAAAGTTTGGAGATATTCTGAATGAAGTTTTCAACAAAGATGAAATTTGATTTTAGTCAATTTAAATCAACTTGACTGGATTCAAATCTTATTTTATGTATTCCAAAACTCTATGTACAGAAACTCTATGTACATAAAAAAGCTATCTACAGAAAAAACTGAAATTATATCAAACTATGAATTCTTAGCCTGAAATGAGACCACTTTAAATCAATTTAAAACTTTTTATAATGATTCAAGTACATTTTAATTGAATTTTTTCAAAATTAATTTTTTGAGAGTAAAATCAATCTCAAACCTTTTATCAGTGCTTTTTTGTCTGAAAAGATTATCAATTATTCAGACAAAAGGTCAACGCTATGACTTTCAGTCTTTTTTTTACTGGAAATCTCACGCTGTCTTTTCTCATTTTAATTTGAAAAAAAATTTGAAATAGGAAAAAACGGAAATATTTTCCAGTCTAACTCAAATGCAAGCTTGAGTGGTTCAAAATATATTACGACAACTCATTAGGCCAGTAAGATTCACTGTTTTCAAACTATTATTGAAAAAAAATTTGGTTTTCATGAGTCTATATGCAAAAAAATAAAGCGAAGCCCTGATTGTTCTGCCTTTTAAGGTCTATGGAGCAGTAATAACGTGAAAAAAAAATAAATTTGAGATTTTTTTGTGAAAATCATCCCCCCACACGCCATTCAAAGTACAAAGTGAGAGATTATCTAGCAGCAAAACAGTACAGAGTGATCCTAGCAATAAATGAATTATGACAAATTAGCTTCCTTCAACCAATTGAAACGATTTTTAAGACGGATTAAATCTCAGCTTACGCGTTAATAGCGCGAAATGTATTGCGCGTTAATTGTACCAAATGGCAATTTTTAAAACCCCATAAATTTACAGAAAATGTTCAGAGGTGACTTGTATTTTCAAATTTATGTTCAAAACATGAATACTTTTCGAGTGATTTAAAGAAAATTTGGTCAAAAATGGCTAATTAAAAGGACGAAATTTGTCTAAAAAACCAAAAACCATCCCGATCACAAATATTCCGTAACTTTCATTACAAAAACCGGATTAACAAGACTGATCGTATCAAGATGAAGACTTGAGTGTTAAGACTGCCTTTTAAGGTGCATCGAGCAGTAATAACATTTAAAAATTATGCGTAATAAAACAAAAAGTATATACTCTTTTTAATTTGAGATTTTTTGTAAGAACCACCCCCCACACGCCATATAAAAAAACAAAGTGATAGGTTTTGGTTCTAGTAACAAACAATTATGGCAAATAAGCTTCCTTCAACCAATTTAAAACAATTTTTAAGACGAATTAAATCTCCGCTTAAGCGTTAATAGCGCGAAAGTATCGCGCGTTAATTGTCCAAAATTGTAAACCTCCATATTTTTACGAAAAATCATTGAAATATCTTTTCAAATTTATGCTCAAGACAATGATACTTTTTGATTGATGTGTGAAAAAACCAACCTGAGCACAAAAATTCCGTCACTTTCGTTACGAAAGCCGGATTAACAAGACTGCTCGTATCAGGGCGAAGTCTTGAGTGTTACGACTGCCTTTTATTGTGTATCGAGCAGTAATAACATTTAAAAAATTAAATGTAATAAAACAAAAAGAACATATTATTTTTAATTTGAGATTTTTTGTGAAAACCATCCCCAACACGTCATATAAAAGCACAGTGATAAATTTTGCTTCTAGTAACAAACAATTATGGCAAATGAGCTACCTTCAACCAATTTAAAACAATTTTTAAGATGAATTAAATCTCCGCTTAAGCGTTAATAACGCGAAAGATATCGCGCGTTATCTGTCCCAAATTGGCCGAAATGGCAAATTGTAAAGCTCCATATTTTTACGAAAAATCATCACAGGTGAAATATCTTTTCAAAATTATGCTCAAGACAATAATACTTTTTGATTGATTTAGGAAAATTTGGTCAAAATTGGCTAGTTAAAAAGTCGCATTTTGTGTGAAAAAAAAAACCAACCCGAGCACAAATATTCCGTCACTTTCGTTACGAAAGCCGGATTAACAAGACTGCTCGTATCAGGGCGAAGCCTTGAGTGTTACGACTGCCTTTATTGTGTATCAAGCAGTAATAAACTGCGTTAATTCGCGCGTCAATTGTCCCAAGTTGGCCAAAATGACAGTTTTTAAACGCTCATAACTTTAAAAAAAGGTCACAGGTGAAAATTTTTTCCAAATTTACGCTCAAGACATTAATAAACTTTGAATGATATAAAACATTTTGCCAAAAATAGCTAGCTGAAAAGTCCAATTTTGTCTGAAGAGTGAAAACCAACCCGAGCATATTTCGTTTTTTTTTGTTCCGAACAACAATGATATATGTCAGACGCAATTGGGTTTTTTCCTTTCAAAGTTAATAAAAAATGGCGTGAGTTTTTTCATTTTTTACAATCAAAAGAAGAAGAGTGAGAAAGGAAGAGCAACTACGATTTAGGTTTGAGTTTCTTCCCAACGTAACCCCCCACCCCAACTTACTCCCACCCCCCCCCCCCAACCCACGACATACCCCCCTCACGTACACCGCCATCCCTCCACGTACCCCCCCTCTCTCTCTCTAGTTAGGGGACATCTAACTGTAGTACGGACGGGTAAGCGTGGGGAGGGGGAGTTGGTGTGGGATCTATAGGTAACTTTTTGTAATTTTTCATAAGCTCGATTGAATAGAAAAAATGAAATTAAGCGAGAGAACAAAATAACTAACTGAAGTTTAACAAAATTATGAGAAACTGAAAACAACACACAGTAAGAATTGAAGAAATAGATTATAATCCATTTTAATTGATTAAAATTGATTATTTTTCTTTTTGATAAAATGTTGTGAAAATAATCGATTATAATGGATTATAATCGATTATATTGGGATTTTATTGCTTAAACAATCTTATCATTATAACCCATTTTCAATCGCTTATAATCGATTATTTTTGTTGTTTTATAGAGAATGACAAGGAAAATCCAATATTATCGATTATTATCTATGAAAGTTAAGTGCGGGAACAAATCAGTTTTGCGTTGCAATGAAAAAGTTTGGTAGTATCGAATGATTCATTTGAGTTTGTTGTCTTCAAAAAGTTTTAAAAGACGATAAAGGTTATTTTGAGTTTTGAGTGTTAACCTGCAAAAGATTTTCTGGTAAATACATAATTCCAAATTGCGCCAAAACTGTAGAAATAACGGTTGATATTTGTTATAAAAGTTACAATACGAGGCCAAACTGTGCAGTGGATGGAGAGGCGCAAAATTTCGTTGGATGGTTAGGCGCACAATTTTGTGTTTGTATGTTCCTGGGTTCCAGAGACAAGTCTTAGAACATGTTCCAAAATGTAAGTGGATTTTACTTATAAAATTTCAGCGGCCTCCGCGTAAAAATACCTTTGATGTAAATTTTGTGTTGCCGATTCCGCAACAAGTAAATATAAGTAATTGTTCGGGTTTCCGCAAATGTAAGTAGATTTTTGCAAAAGTAAAGGGATTCCAAAAATTAATGCGGGTTCCGCTCACAATTTGCGGAATCCGGTCACAACTTACGGATTCCACTTACAGTTGCGGATTCCGCGACAGCTTAAGTTTACTAAACACATATAATATTCTTTGTTCTTGGATTCCTCGAAATTGTTCCGGATCCCACACATTTTTTTTGCGGATTTACAATTGTCTGTTTTTGGAGCAATTTTGAGCCATACAGTGTTCTAGCTATTTGTCCGTGGAATCCAAAACAGCAGAGAACATCAAAGAAAAAGAGCAATTTTGCGGATTCCGAAAAAAATCTGATTTTTGCTTGTTGCCGAATCCGCTTAAAATTCGCAACTTGCACATTGTGGCCTTGTAATGTGATTAAATTTGCCTCGCCACGGGAACGTTTAAATTTCTAAATCTTAAATGGATTTCAGTCACACTTATTACTTGCAGTTAAGAAATTCTAGTGAATTAAATGTGTTGGTTAATGGAACATTCTGAGAGGGAACTACTTTTTTAAGGATAAAATTTGTTGCTCAAATTTCCAACTTGACGATGAAAATATGATAGACTGAAAAAAGTAGCAAGAAATTGGTTTTTGTTTGACCAATTTTGGGTATGATTGGACAGTGTTTGGAGAATTTGTTGACTTTAGTCGGCCTCATTCCCCCATGTCTCTAGCAAGAATTTTCAGTCGAGCCCTAATGTTATGATCGACTTTGAAAGTGGAAACTTGAAGT